CACACACACACACACACACACACACACACACACACACACACACACACGTTTGTCCGCACACAGCATTTATCCTGTTACGCTAGTTTCAGAACTGGCTTGTTATAGTCAGTTAGAAAAACTTCTACTATCTTCAGTATGTTTTAGAATTATTTTTTGTTTGTATGTAAAGGTGTCTGAGTGTTTCTGTGTACCATGTACAGGAGCCCCTGTAGACCAGCAAATGGCTTGGTTCACCTGGAGCAGGTAGTTGTGAGCCACCATGTGGGTAATGAGAGCTGAACCTGGGTCCTCTGTAAGAGCCATAAATGATCTTAACCTCTGTGCCGTCTCTCCAGCCCCTCTTCACCTCGTGAGGCTTTTATTTCAGATACACAACACACATGTCGCCATTTATGTCCCAGTGCTCTTGGATCTGGTGTTAACTTCCCTACTCCTCGTTATAGTCACTTTGAATACTTTTGACCTATGTTTAAACAAACATACTATTTTCTCCTCAGCAAGTTCTTTGTTTACATGTGGTACTCACTGTTTCCATGGGGCAGTGTGTGTGTGTGTGTGTGTGTGTGTGTGTGTGTGTGTGTGTGGGTTGGTTTAGAACTAACTATGTAGGCGGTCCTCGAACTCAGAACATCCTACTGCTGCCTCCCAAGTGCTGAGATTAAAGGGTTGTGTTCCCACCTGGGAACAGATCTTCAGTCTTTAATGACAGACAATCATTTTAAAGTCCATTTCGTGGTGGTGCCAATTGTGACCCCGAGCTTGGCTCTGGCTCTCGCTATTGCATTACCATTAGGTAATTTTGACCGAACACAAGATAGTTACTGCTGACTTCTGTTTGTTTTTGCTTTTGGTATCCATCTTGCAACGTTTCAGACTATGTAAACTCAATTTTCTTTGCTGAGTTGTTTTGTTTTGTTTTGTTTTAAAGATAAGGCCTTACGTAACTCAGGCTGGCCTCAAATTCAGAAGCTCAGGGTTAGTTACTCTAACCCTGAGCTTCTGACTTCATGCCTCTACTTCCTGTGTGCTGGTATTGCAGGTGTGTGCTAGGGACTGAACCCAGGACCCTGTGCACTCACGCTAGGCAAGCGTTGTCAACTGAGTCCCAGTCCCAGCCCCTTTCACCGTTCTATTTGCTCTTTCCTGCCCCTCTTGCTGAAGTGGAGGGTGCATATAATCAAAATACATTGTATGGACTTCTCAAAGTGTTGATGAAAAATTATGTTTTATCACTAGAAAAAGACCAAGCTAATCCCAAAGATAAAAAGAAATAAGAGAGTAAATAATGGCAACAGACTATAAAAACAAAAGCCGGGCAGTGGGGGTGCAGGCCTTTAATCCCAGCACTCAGAAGACAGAGACAGGCAGATCTCTGTGAGTTCGAGACAGGCGGATCTCTGTGAGTTCGAGACCAGCTTGGTCTAAAAAGAGAGTACCAGGACAGGCTCCAAAGCTACAGATAAATCCTGTCTCAAAAAACCAATCATAATAATAATAATAAAATAAAGAAAGAAAAGGAAAAAGAAAGAATATAAAAGCAATAGAGAAAATTAAGAACTGAGCATTGATTCTTTAAAGAGATCAACAGAATTGACAAAAGATAAAAATGGAAATATCTAAAATAAAAATAAGCACAGTAGGGGCTTAGAAGATGAATTAGTGGGCAAAAGCACTCCCTGCACACACATGAGGACCCGCGTTTGAATCCCCAGAACCCACATGTAAAGCTGGGCATGACTGCCCTTCTGTAACCCCAGCACTGTCTCTGAGGGAGACAGTCACACCAGAGTTGCTGGCAGCCAGATTCAGATTCAGTGAGAGACCTTGTCTCTAGAGAATAAGGCAGAGAGGGACAAAGCAGGACACCTGGTGTCCTCCTGGCTCCCACTCATCCCTACTAAGAAGGAAATGGCCACACTGCTACTAATCTTTCAGAGGTTATACAGGAAGAGAGCACTGAACACAGCTCTGCATCCACAGAGATAATGATGGAAGAGAAAATGTTGATCTGAGCCCACAGTTTTGGACGTTCCACAGCCTTGTGTGTGGGTGGGCCTGTGCAGTGAGCCTGTGCCGTGGACCTGTGCCGTGGGCCTGTGCAGTGGGCCCTGCTGTGAGTCTGTGCAGTGGGCTTGTGCTGTAGGCCTGTGTAGTGGACCTGTGCCGTGGGCCTGTGCTGTGGGCCTGTGCGGTAGGCCTTCCTGTGAGTCTGTGTTGGACCTATGCTGTGGGCCTATGCTGTGGACCTGTTGGACACAGGCAACAAGCACATCATGGCAGGAACGCATGACAGAGCAAAGCCATTTCCCCATGGTCATGAAACAAAAGAGAGAAAAGAGGAAGCCAGAGTTCCATCATGACCTAAAGACTCTCCAGTTAACTCAGCCTCTAAAAGGTTCCACCACTGCCAAGAGCACCACACTGGAAGCTCTCATCATCCAAACTGTAGCAACACTTTTGACTGAATTAGGAAGAAGTACAATCTCAACTGACCTGTAGTAAGAGATTGAGTTGATAATCAGGAACTTTCCGATAAAAGTCTTGGACCAAATGGCTACATCAGTGAATTCTACCATGCATTTAAAGAAAACAAAATTACAAGCCATTGCCTCTTCTTGAGATAGACACAAAAGTCATAAAAAAAAAATACTAGTAACATATGATTAGAATTACTGACTATGGCCAGAGAGTGGCATCTCAGTAACACAAGAAAATAAATCTCTATCAGATCAATAGAGCTAAA